GTCCCTTCTAACCCTCATGCTCTATGATTCATTTACTTCATCTCTCCTGTGACTGGGCCATCTCAAGATAGAAAATGGACACTACATCTGCCTTATTCAGCCATTGACAAAAGCAGTGACAGTCAAGAGCGGTGGTGTGAACACTGCTGCCCTGAACGAAGACCCTCATGACTTCTCAGGTAAGCTGTTGAGCAACAATCAGGCAACTGGTGTCATCACTGGATCAGCTAGAGTAGGTGAGCTAGGTGTGGAGGACTATGGAGTTGAACTCCTCCACAGACACCCTCCGTCAGCCTGTGCCCTCCCGCTCCTGGTTATGTTGACATTTACACACTTCCAGGAACATTAAGAAAGATTTTTTTTTAGTGTTTCAGGGTTTATTTTTCAAGCCCATTGCATAATTTTTCCTGTAATGCCAGATGGATTAGATATAAATATCAAACCATTTTACAGATGTCAGAGAGATGCGGCCTTTGGATTCCATAATCCCATGTCCACTTTTAGCAATGTTGGCTGACCTTTCAAATGTCATAAAGCAAAAGTCTGACTGTTAGCAAAGCATCCAGCAGGCAGCTTTACAGCAAGTTCATCCATGCCCCTGGTTAAAGCTGTACAAATCACTTGGTTCACAGTGCATTTCATTTGTTCAGTGGGGAGAAGGACAACTTTACCAAATGGCACTTGACCTGGTAGAGTCCAGGTAGCTACTGCCAAATCACAAGCAGTAGGACATGCTCATCTAAAAGAAATAGTTGTACCTTCATTTGTTCTGGTGATCAGCCTGAAGTTCTTTGCTTCTTGCTTGAACTCCTGTTTCCTAATCTTCTTGATCTGTATCAAGTGAAATATCCCTGAGAACAGAAACCAGTGGCATGGTTATCTTGCAGTTGTGCCCTCTTAAAGATCAGCTCGACATTCAAACACTCATTTCTTACTTAGGCAAGGAGAGGAATTACCAGTCTGGATCAGAGCTGAACTTCATCTAGGCCAGTAACACGTCTCTGAAAATGGCCAACACTAGTTGGTTCACAGAAAGGTGCAAAATGCCATGTTTTCTCACATCCAACACACACTTCCCCCCAACCCCTCCGAACTGGGGTGCATGTATTAATCAGGAAAACTGATTTTCTGCCTGGGGTAGATTAACAATCATCTCTCTGTTTGAATGGGCTTGATGTTCCATTAATTAACATTTCTTGGGGCAATTTTGCTGTCTGCTAACCGCTTCTGTTAACCTAAGCAGGAAAAGGAGGGTGATGCAACTAGAAATGAGGCTCTGTTTCTGTTCTATGTCAACATATCTCTGGGGGAAACAATGTTGGCCTTCTGCTTTTGAAAAACATGGTGCATTTTATATTCTGGGATGTGTTATAGTCACGAAAATACAGTAATGTTTCACTGAGTTAGCAAGGCTTCACAATCCAATTTCTTAGAAAATACCCGATTCTTGCAGTTGTCATTCTTATCCCCTGTTTATAGGATGGACTAGCATGTGCGCAGAACATGGCAGACCAAGCCATGCCTGCTTGCTCACAGAGCAACAAATGTTTGGGTAATGCTCACTCAGCATCCTTATCCTTATTGCAGAAGCACGAGGAAGCTCCAACCAAAATCAAATCCCTGTTGTGTTGTACAGCACCAACTACAGTGTGACTTTGAGCCCAGCTGGGACCTTTAGCTGCTACCATAAATCAGATCTATGCTAAATAATAACAGCTGGATCCTGGGGTGCCCATCTTTGGTCGCCTCCTTTTTCTCCAAGACAAGACCCCCCCTCACTCCCCATTGCTTTTGGAACGTCTCTCTCCCTCTGGTCCATAGGGCTCAATGATGCTGATTCATACTTCATTTTTTGAGACCAATGCGGCAGCCAACATTTTGTTTTAATCCTCCAGCTTTGAAAAATGCACTTGACTAGGAAATATGAAAAGATTTCTAAAATAGATTTATGATTCCTTTGTACCAGTCATTGTGCCTGTGGGGGCGTTTGAGTCTGTTTAATGCAAGAAAACCAGAAAGTGTATTTAGCAATGGAAATGACCTTTCCGAGGAATTAGGCATTACAAAGTGCATATTAAACAGGCAAGTGCTGACAAACCTACCAGGTATGCCTGATATATCCTCCCCTCCACACTTTTCAATCTCTCCTTTGTCCCAAACACCCCTGGGTCCTGATGTTTAATTCATTTGGGATGTTGTAACGTTGTCTAGTGAAAGATGCCCTTGGCCAAATGAAGGCAGCAAGAACATAAGGACTGCCATTTACTGGCTCATTTTGCCGTCTCCTGTGTCGCACCACAGCAGAGAGCGGATGCTGAAAGGGAGAGCAAACAAGGGATGCCCAGGGGTTTTTCCACCGCTCCTCTCTCAGTTGCAGCCTCCAGCATTTTTAAGGTCCAGAGGCTATATCCCTAATGCCCCGGTTCACTAGCTACTGATGCCCCTTTCCTCCAAGAACGTGGCCAATCCCTTTTTGAATCTGGCTAAACTGTCAGCTGCCATCACATTTAGCGACAATGAGATCCACACTTTTAGGGAAATGGGAGAAAGGACAGCAATTAATATAACTTGGAATTTATGATGTACAAAATGGATAACAGAAGCTAATGAGAGCTAGGAAAACCCCACGGTTGACAAGGCTCAAGGCTAAAGGAAGGAGTCTTTAAGAATATTAGGAACAAAAGAAATCCCAACAAAGAGACCCAGGATTATATGGTGGTGGTAAAGTTGTGACTAATGATGTAGAAAAGGCAGAAGTGTTCAATGTAATACTTTTGCGCTGTATTTGGAAGGAAGTGCCGCAATGTGATTGTATCACAAGAACGCAATGTAGTACATCCATTCTTAACCCGACCCTAGAAACTAGTTTCCGACCCTAGAAACTATGAAACTATGAAACCCAGAAGGATGTAACACAACTTTTATTAGAGAGAGGTATTTTTATATAAAGAGGCCCAGATATAGAAGTCCTTAAAGAACAGAAAGATTTACAACAACAAAAAAGAAGGGAAAAAAAAAGAACTGGAAGGGGGGGGAGTTATCTGGCCTGCTGGTGTCCATTTTTAATGAATCTTGGAAGAATGGGGAGATTACAGAAGACTGGAAGAGTGCTAATGTTGTGCCAGTATTCAAAGAGAGCAAAGAGGATAAACCAGGTAAATACAAGCTGTTTTACCAGACATCAGCCTTGGGTGAAATAAGCTGATATGGCACTCAACAGTTAAAGAATTAAAGCATGGGAAGCTCATTAAAGCCATTTGACATGACTTTCTGGAAAGCAGATCTCATGAAAAAATGCTAATTTCATTCTTTGAGAAGATTACAAGTGTAGTCGATAGAGGAAACTGAATTATTGCAATACACTGAGACCCTGGCGTAACAAAGCATGACGTGAATTAAAGAAAAATAACCATATTGAATATCAGCAGAGAAAATGTCACGTGGATTAGCAACTAGCTGACAGATCTCAAACAATAGGGGAGATTTCCAGTGAGGTCCAAAGAGACTGGGGATAGACCTGATGCTATTCAACATCCTCATCAATTAGCATAAAAGTATCACTGATAAAATCTGTGGGTGAAATTATGAAAGTCATTTCATAGATTTCATAGACATTAGGGCTGGAAGG